GTGTGTGTGTGTGTGTGTGTGTGTGTGTGTGTGTGTGTGTGTGTGTGAGAGAGAGATTGGAGTAAGGAAAGGCTGTTTGAGTCAGTTAAAGAAAAAATCGCATTAAAAATGTTTAAGACGTGAAATTTTCAAAAGCCCCTCCCTACCCTGAACATTGAAAACCTCATCTCTCTCTCTCTCTCTCTCGAAAATTTGTTATCCAATTTTTTCTTTAATAATTGACTCAAATAACACCTCTTTACACTATAGCAGAAATAAAATGTTGTAACAACTCATGGGAATATAAGTATAACTTTTTCTCCTTTTAAAATCAAAAGTTGATAGATTTCGAGTTTGCGTGTTTTTACGCACGCAATATACATATATAGGTATATATCGCGCGAATGAAATATTTCTCGAAGTTATTTTTAGATGAGCGTCATCGCGTTTATGCGCTATCTATACAGCTGAAACGAAAGCGATCGCCACGTTGTTTCTTATACGATCCGAAGAAAATTATTGATTGGATATTAAGGATACTTCTAATATCAAATTTCAATTAAAAATTTCAAATAAAAGTACGATAACCGTAAGTACTTGAGTAAGGTATTCGATGTGATTCGGTAAAAGAATAATATTATATAATATGTAATAAAACGGGAATATATAAACGAGAGAGATAAAACATAGTTGGTACAAGTTTTAATTATAAAATTTAAAAGAATCATATTTGAGTCTGGTGAAAAAGATGGTACGAAAGCTTACGGCATATTGCAAGACAATGCACAATGCACGTCAATTATCCGGCTCAATTCGATCAAATTGCCCCGGCACGGTGCTTTTGCTTTATTCAACGATCGATTTTCTTTTCACTATATATATATTATCACAATTATTCGGGTTTGCTTGTGTCATCCGAGGTTACCAAATCTAAGTTCAATATCTTACGTACGATATGATTGTAGCATCGCAACTATTTACGACGATGATGGATCTTTTATTGCATCATCGGCACGTGCTGACTCAATCTTCGGCACGTAGTCCACATACATATACATATCTTTTTCGATTACATGATTATTTACATTGATGTAATTTTTCGTAATTTATATCGTCAATATTTAAAGACCATGCAACTTATGATCAGATTCTAATTCAGTATTCACACACAACCATCTCAAGACCTAAATCTGTAAACAAAGAACAAAATTAATAAAATTTAATAAATAACAAAGGTAATGTCTTAAAAACATGAATTTTTTTAAATATTTTTTGGTATTACACGCTTCTACAGTGAAACTATTTCTCTCTCTTTGTAATCTCTACATTCTTTTGCAGAAAATATTTTAATTCTTTTTCCTTCTTTTGCCTCCAACTATATAAGTATAAAACATCTAGTTTGAGGATATCTTTATTATTTTGTTTGAAACGCTAAACGCGTGTAATAATATACATATAACGAAACGATGTAGCTTAAAAGAACGGATCTTATTCTACATATATGTCAATTGTCAATTGTCAAGGTAGCGGCGGATGACTCGTCGCGAGGTCGCTGGGTGAGGCGGTGATGAAGTGGCGAGGTGAGGACGGTGAGGCCGGGTGAGGGGTGAGGTGGTGCGCTGCGCAGTGGATCGATATGGGACATGGGACCACAACTGGCTCGCCGCTCGACATATAGGGCGAATCAGAAACTTGGACACTTGGGATTTTTTAGACTAAAGATGTAGAAAAGGGAGTGTCAGGATGAAAAAAGAAATAAACCACTTGGATTTACATTTTCAAAGATGCATTAAGCGATTAAACTTATGATCGGCTCAGATTTATAATTCTGAGAGACATTTGATTTGTATATAATTTTTTAATCAAGATGATGATAATATTGCGCAAGTAGCGTAATTGATGGGTCTTTCTTTTTTCGGTTTTTGGTAGTGATATGACACAGAGAGGCACTTAATTTTTCAATTTGGATTGGTGGCTATTGCATTTCTCGTTGATGTGACACGCATAATTTTGAATTATCCTATACAAAGTCAAGGCTTGCCATTTGCCATGAGGATGCACGTCGCGTCGGCGTCGTTTGTGCGAACATCTACTTCTGACTACACAAGATAAAATTTCAATCCACAATTGGGACGAAAATTTTCAGTTTGTATTTAAAGCTCATATACATATATGTATATATATATATATATTCCACTAATTGTAAGTGTATGATAACAATTCTAAAGATACTCCATGTCCATAAACAAGTCGACCCGTTTTTAATGCGAAACTTGACTCGCGGCGGAAAAGGTGGGAAAGATTTCTAAAACATATTGAAAAGACTGTTTCGTTAAGAAAAAAGGTCGATTCGAGAGGAGCTTGAAAGTTAAAGAATATAGTTACAACGTAATATTGATATAATATTCCTTATATACTTGAAGATGTAGAGTGCAGCGAGTAAATGATATTTTTTTCACCCCCAAGAGTCCCTAATCTTGTCCCGCATCAGGGTATGGGAAAAAGCGCGAGAGGTGGCTGGTCCGCTGGTGGTGATGGGCTGCTCGGTGGGGTCGTAGGTCGTAGGGAACGTAGACGCGGTAGACGTCGGATTCTGGCGGGGGTTTGCCCCTCCGAGTCGACCGAGCGGGTCGAGCCGACGGGATCGGTCGGTCGGTCGGTCGGTGTCGGCCGATTAATCGAAAGTCCGACACTCCGACAGTCAGACTGCCGCGGACCGTCAAGCCGTTGCGTCGGGCCGCTGCGACCTGCGACGCCGGCGTTGAGCGAAGCGTCCATTTTCCGCGAGGAGGTAGGCCGCAGGCGTCATCGTTGTTATCACACTCGTCATTGTTGTCGTTATCGTTCTCGAGTGGAATAAAGTGCGAAATGTGATCAAGACACGCCGCGTTCGAGCGTGTCGCGAATCTGTGCAATCGATAGTGCGTATAATTGATTGTTAATTAATTACACGATTATATTGATCTACCTTGAATTCGATTAATAAGTGAGTGAGTGAATATTGAAATTATCTGACACCGCGATAGATTTGATTAAGATATACAGTGAGAGACATTATCATACCAAACAAAATAAAATGGTTGTACCGTTAACTTCTCTTTCGTTTTCCAAATTGCTTGCTGTTCGAGAATCTAATTTATTTAGACTTTAGGCCGTTGCAAAATCCACAAGACGCAATGCGCCGTGACAGCGTGACAGCGTGACTCTGCGGCGGCTACGGGTTCAAACGCATTTCAAGAGCGATGCTGCTTTGACGCTTTCGCGTCAATTAATCTTTCCACGATCCAATTATTCAATTACCGTCTAAAGCAATTGACGATAATTAACATAACGTCAGAGGAACGCACAAGGAATCGAAGGCATCCCAATCTCGCCGTTGGTTCGCGTAACCAAAGTCGTCTATGCTCACAATCAGATTAATCAATACTCATTGCTAGTATCATATTTGGAGTTGTTATGAGAAATGTGGAAATGTGCGCCACGCGACGCGACGCGAGGATACGCATTGCATATACGACTCACCACTTGCGATTGCTAATTGCTTACGGTTGCGGTTACCAATTAAATTGCTTAATAAATGTGGAAATCGTTTTGGTGCCCAAATCTTTAGACTTGTTCTTGAAATTGATCAATCGTCGCGTAATCGGATCGCGCGATTAAATCAATAAACCACCTTTCGAAAATCTAGATTTACCAAAATAACGAAGATAGTTTTTTCCGCGATAATAAAAGTAAATAAATTAAAATATAATAAACAATTTCGGAAAGCTGGATATTTTATAAATAAAAATTAGGAAATAAATCTCTGATTGCGATTCATTCTTCCACGATTTTTAGAAAGTAAACGAACTTGATGACTACGATGCAACAGTTTTCATTTAGATATTATAAAATTTACTATGACAAGTTTTTTATTTTATTTATATTAATTTTAAATTTTACTTATAGCCAGTGAAAATGATTTTGAGTTAACGTAGACTATGTGTGGGCATGTAACGTATACATACGTTAATCCGTTCTTTCGTCATGCATAGTAACATGCAAAAAGTAATACGAGTCATGTATATATACGTATTCGTATGTACATACATACGTCACTTTTCGGAGCGTCACTTTTGACATTTTCTCTGATCGAGATATCTTGATCGACTCACGCGTCACGCGTGCGACAAATTTGTCATTAAGATTCCTCAACGTATCATAAAATGAGACACCGCTTACAGATATAGTAATGTAAAGTTGATATTACCAAGCTAACGAATCCAAAGTGACGTAGATAAGAAAATAGTCAAAATAGAGCGAATGCCGATTGCCGACACCTGACCTGAAATGAGTGCGCGATGACCGCGACAGAAATCGAACGCGCACACTTTCTATATGCTGCAGCTGAGCTGTAAGCCCGGTAGGCGGTTAAGCGAAAGTGTAACGGCTAACGGCACTTGGAGTAAGGCATACATTCATCAGGTTTCAAGTTTCAAGCGATATCGCTTTTAAGGTCGTTTATCGAACAGTGAATGTGATGGGTCACGTCATTCGTAAGTCGAGTCATTCGACTTATTGTTATTGTTAGTAAGAAAGAATTAACAATCGTCTTAAACGTCACTAAACAGCACTATGCATTAGACACTAACAAATCTAACGATAAGGATTAGAAGAGGTGGAGACAGAGGCTGATCGGCTGAAGGAGTCAATCGCTTTCAATATCCATTTCCAAATTAAATAACTTTGATCTTACAATAATACTATAAATCTTAAATACCTATATGCCCTGCTTTTATGTATCTTATACATGAAGATAAATACTAATAAAATAGTTTCTTCTCTTATTTTTTATATCTTGTCTTGTCTTATCTCTTTATTTATCTTTTTCATACATTTATATTTATATTTATACGGAAGAACATATAAAATATAAAGACGGTTTTGCGAAAGATTTTCGTTTCTCTAAATCTTTTCGTCATTTTGTTTTTTACTTGTTCGCTTTTGGCGGCTCCGGTTGAACTCTCATTAGTCATTGCCCTCTTCATGGCTGACCCGTCCCATTGATCCCGTCGATCTCGACTATTGAATCTATTGATCGACGACTCGAGATTGAATTTAAATCTTTCTCTCTCCAGCGACGAGCAACAACAACGAGGATTCCTTCTTTTCGTATGTATGATCGATAATCTTTTACTGTTTACACGATGCGTGCATTCTCTATTCCCAATCTATCTCTCGAGTGAGGGAAAATTATGACAGTCAAGTGATAAGACATCGCCAAGGTTGTTGGCGAACAATTCTCGTTGTTGCGTCCATTTGTCCATTACCTGTTATCGCTTAATCACCAACGAACGATACAACAGTAGTCCGATAGCCGGCTAAAAATATTTGTCGTGAATCACGCTGTGGAACATAATACAATTGTAACGAGACTTTTGTTTTTGTTCTTTTCAACTTTTCATTCAACCATTAAGCATTTACATTTAGATTTAGAAAGACCAAACAACGACATTTATTCTCTTTTTCAGAACCAGATAAATTAAAATATTTATAGAATTAAATATTAATAAGATGAGAGAATGAAAATGTTAATAATATATAGGTAAGGAATGAAGAATAATCTTCAATCCTTGAAAGCAAACTCGATTACTCGATTACAGAAGCAAAAGCTCCGCGCCTCCATGTACAGATAAAACTTGTGCGAATTCGCCAATACGATAACTTGCGTGACATTAGACATTATCCATAGACATGTTATCAGTCAATGTCGAATCGAGTTTTCTATTTTGCAGCTATACCGTATCCTGTCATGGCACCTGTCCCTGATTGAGAGATTTAATCTATCAAATGTTCTTCTTGCAACTTAATCTTATATCTCGACAAGAAATAAAAGAAAAAAAGATGTATACGTAACTCTTATTACTCTTATTACACACAAAACGTATTATTTTAATTAATCTCATTGTCTCAGTGCAACAAAGATTTAACTTGAAATCTTCTCCGCTATCTCAAAGACATGGTGCATCGCGACAGAGATCAGAAGCTAGACGCATCCTAACTAAGGTATGCGCCTATATAGCTTCTGATCTCTCGGAACGAGAGACTGCTTTATACTCTTTATAGACACAGACAGGTAGCAACTAGCATGTAGGAAATACCACGACTTTATTAGTGGTATGTCAATAAAAAAATTGTTACCAAGTTCTCTCGATGGCGAGAGACCTTGAAAAGAGCGTGCCGCTCGAAAGCTCTCAACTTTGATCTCGATCGAATAGTTGGAGGTACGTCTCCGCGGACTCCGAGGCCAACTCCGAGGACGACAACCCCAATGCTTGTGGTGCAAATGGCTGGACCAGCCAAACGTTGCAATGGAAAGAGGTGATGAAGAAAGCTTCGTGATCTCGAGACCGATGGCCGAGTAGGCCTGACAGAATTGGATAGAAGATTGCGGATTTTTTGGAAGCGAAAACGGACGGACGCAGCGCACGCTAGGTAGACAGGCGAGTAAACAAGTAGACGAGTAGACGACGACCGACGGGCGACCGGCGACGACGACGACGTGGAGGAACATTACGGCTTACGGCTGCCAGTGCCGTGTAGCGTGGCTGGGAAAACCCAGGGTATATGTACGGCGTATTAATAGCCAAGTATAGAGCAGTGGTGGGGCCGCGGTTGCTCGCGGGTGAAAATAGAAAAGAATGTTTTTGGAATCCAATTGGACTTGGTTGGCAGAACGATGGGGCAATATGGCCGACTTGGCCGAGCGGGTGGACGATCTGATATGCAGTTTCGACTCGACTGGTGAAACGACCATGGATACCCTGTCGATGCTGATATTCGGCTGGATGTTGTTCGGTCTGGTGGTGTTGTGCGTTGGCAAATACGTGTACAATCGTTTTGTACTAAACGAGCTCACCGCCACCACTGCTGCTGCCGCCGCCGCCGCCGCCGCCGTCGCCTCATCATCATTGTCGTCATCGTCGTCGTCGTCGTCGTCGCTGCAGCTCGGCAAGGATGGTCATGCCCGTCACGATGAGAGTGTCGTGACGACGGGTGCCGCTGGTACCATCATTGGAAAACTGTTCGACAAATCGAAATCGGTGTCACCGTCCTCGTCATCGCTCGCGAGGGCTGGTACCGGTGGTGCAGGTGGCGGCGGTGGTACCGTTAGTGGCGGCGGCGGTGGTGCCGTTAGCGCTACTGGTGGTGGTAGTAGTGGTGGTGGTGGTGGTGGTGGCGGTGGTGGTGGTGCCGGTGCCAGTGCCGGTATGGTAGCAGGTGCGAGATCACCATCACCGGGAGGTTACGTGCCGCCCACGCCGCCGATCAGGAAACGTCTGACCCGGAAGACCTCCGGTGCCCTCATCAGCCCGTCTCGAAGTTCTCGAGCTCTGCATCTCCCGACCGCGACTGGCGCGGATGCCGAGGCCGTGCGTTGGGTCAACGAACTGATCGTGTGGCTTCATCACGACCTCGTCATCCTCAACGAGCTCTTGGCCACTTGGGTAGTTTCTCTCAACGATTTCACCGCTGGCTCTACCGACGAGGTGAGAAAGAGAAAGGGAGAACGGAGAACGTTGCAGATTCTCATCGTTTTAAGCTTTAAGCGATTTAAACTCTTTCATTCGTTACATCGCCATAAAGTGTAGTATGGCACAAATTTTCTAAAATTTAATTCCAAAACTAACGAGTTTTAAGATGTTAAATCTTGAATCACAAGGAGCGGAAGCTGGAAATTTTTTTAAATTAATAATTACGACAATTATGCTCGTTTCCAATTCTATAGAATATATTCAACCCGATCATGTAAAACGTTTACACACGACCGCGACGTGTTCCATGAAATTTACATAAAACATGGAACTTTGCACGATTCGTCATTCTCGCGATAAGGCGAGATACACGAAAAGAGAAAAGGGGATTCGACTGTCGAGTGTCGATACGCAAACTGGTGTCTGCGTGCATATATGCATCATATATGCGATGGACTCTCGAATAGGTCGAACGCTCGGGCGCGGGCGGAGCACAAGATACGTCTGATGTTCCATCTTATTATTAGGTATACACATACATATGTATATGACGCCAAGTTGTAACAAAGTTGAAAGTTTTACCGTTTTCATTCTCCTTTCAATTATAATAGTACATGCGACATCTTGACAAAATTGATCGTATTCAATTCTTCCACGTTTGACAATCGATCGATCAATTAGAATTAGACTATCTAATATATGTGCTTTGTCAAATTAGGTATGGGCCGGGTGCTTTTCTACATTTTGCTACTATCTCAAGATTCGAGATAAGAAATTGTAAGCGTTATTGAATCGCAAAAATTTGGCGTATTCTCAATTATTTCATTCACATTAATTGAGTCACCTATATTCGCATCTATTCGCTTTGCGAATAATTACGATTAAACATTATAAACATTATGAACTTTTGTTATCTTTGTTTCAAGATCAGTCGTTTTTCCAACATTAACGCTTACTGTCGATTAAAGTAAATTAACGAATTAAATGTATAAATAAACTAAAAGTAATTAAAAGCTGTCGTTAAGTGCCAACACGAGTGCCAAATGCCAAAATTCCATGTTCTAACAATTGGTCTCTATAAATTACGGCAAAGTATTATAATTAATATAATCGCGTATCTTGCGTTAGAACCGGTAACCGGTCGCGCGTGATTCTTTCCTTTTCTTGTGGAGACGCGATAGTCGCGATACCGAATGGCTCGCGTTGTCATTTACATGGATCAAGGTAAACGTTACATGTTACGTCAAAGGTCAGTAGTAAGTAATATACATATAGAAAAGCGTTACGGTTCGGCGCTGTCCTTGCCAGTTGCCAGTTGCCACGTGTAGCGTGACGTAGCCGGCGCCACGGCGATGACATCATTTCGCTGGAATAACTTTAATTTCTTTGAGCGTCAAAGCCAATTATTCCAGCTTGGCTTAATTAACGTTCGTCGTACGTACATAACGATATAACTTGGAATTTTTTAAGATATAACCACACATCATAAAATCATAATGTACAGATTTTGATAAAAGAAATTATCATTTAAGAAGAAAGAATTAAAATAGTTGAATGACCAAAGCTAGGGTAACGAATAATATATAATTTTGACAAAGACGACGATATTTTATGATGCGGTTATTATGGTGAAATTGAATTAATTGAATTAATCTTCCTGGATGAATCTTCTGGAGTCAACGAGGGTGAAATGGGTGAAATGTATGCAATTTAATTACTAACTAAATATGATGTGTAATAATTATAATTGATTAATATTTTATGTACGATTAATATGTCTAAAAAATAGCTTATTTGATCCAGAATAAATAACGGCCGTATAATGGTATATCGCGTTATATATATATATGTATGTATAAATTTAACAATTAATACAACGCCAACGGACGGATTATTCCTAGTTCTTATTCTGCATATGCAAACAATTAAGTAATATCGTACGACGTACGATTTATGATTGCGTCTCGGATAAAAAAGACGGCAACGAGATAATTATCACGCGTATTATAAAGAGCGTGACGCAGATGTTTTTCCGGTGTGTCGCAATTAGACATTTATATGTTTCAGCACGGAGTCGGCGTCGAATTTGTTCGCGTACTTCCAGAGACTTATCCGCCAACCTTGTCAAATATTTTCTGCGAATGCGATTCGAAGGACGATGTGGTACGTAGACGTCCCGTTCTAACCTCTCACTAGCCTTTCGTACTTGGAATTTCGTCAAGATACCAATTTTCTTTTAATTTCATCACTCTCTCTCTCTCTCTCTCTCTCTCTCTCTCTCTCTCTCTCTCTCTCTCAACTTTTAAATTTGACAGAATCAAGGATCAAGGATCAACGTTTTTATTGAACAAAAGCTATAATATAAAAAATCTTATATATCGTATATTCGTATATAACCATTTTTGTTTTCTGAAGCTTCAGTGTTGTAAATCAATTATTAAATATTTAGATTTTAGATGTTAGATTAGTAATTTAATATTTAGATATTTTAGATTATAGGTAATTAGCGATTAATCACTAAGAGCCGGTTATGTGTCTTTGTTTTTCTTTCAAATTAAAGAATGATAGACACATGGTGGAAGGATAATAGATTGCAACAACCAGCCCTAAAGGTTAAGAATCAACTTCTTCTCTCGTATGTTTAGACTATCACATGCGATTGCGAGGCTACTCCAGCTTTGCAACTGAAAGCATTTCGGCAACGAGGGGATAAGGTGGAGGTTAATCACTATCGGGTCAATGTCAATCGTTTCCGCGCTCGCCTCAACGTCGTCTGCATCACCGAGAAGCTGCTGATCGATTTGAAATGCGACGGCTGGCCGGAGGTGCGTGCTGTGCGTGCAACATTGTTATCGGCATTGGCGGATTTCCTGTGATGCTGTGATGCAACACGCGGAAACTTCCGTCCCGTCATTGTGCAATCACAGCTATTTGCTACTTACTCGTTCTGGATCACGACAATACATCGTGTTTATATACATATACGTATATAGTCTTCAAGTCTTCGTCGTCTTGTAGATATATCGATAGACCAATAGACATAGAGAAGAAGAACGACAAATATTTTTTATCAATTTTGTAGCATTTTATCTGACGAAAAGTAAATAGTTGCGGTAAGGAAACACATTTAATGAAACAATATTATCTACTATTCTCCCCGTATCACAGGTGAAGATCTCTCTGGCAGCGGTGGGCACAATAAAGAAAGACTTGGATGAAAGCCAGTTGCAAGAAGTGGTGTCGGAAATTGTAGTGGGTGCCTTGCGAGGCATCAACGTTCACCTCAATCTTTCTCAATATCCCACGTGTCCTCGATTATGGAGAGAGCCGCCTTCTCAGCCAGGCTTCTCATATCCTATACATTACGACGGTGTAGTAAGTTATTGACATATTAAAGCGATTGATATTTGTCGATGAGATTAATCAACTAATTGCAAGTATTTATTTATTTGTAAGTGTGTGCGTGTGTAAAATTTTCTCGCCACTTTCTTCAACAAGATTTATATTGCGCTACAAGATTTATAGTAGAATTTTGAAAATATATAATTTACCTTTCTCAGAAATATGATTATTGTTGATAGTATAACGCTTTACTTTAAAATTATCACGTGCTATTATCATCACACGCTCTCACTATGACGACTTTGTTCGCAGAACGCCTCGAATTCGATGGTTCCGCAGCCACCGCATCAACGCCTTCAAGGACATACCGCACCCTCGTCAGCACCAATACAATATATGCCTGGCGAGAGACGTTTGCTCGTGAAGGTTGTGAGGGCTATCGACCTCGGTGGTCAGCAAGGAGCCGTGGAGCCTTACTGCGTCGTGGAGTTGGATGAACCCCCGCAAAAGAATCAAACCTCTATAAAGAGAGATACCAAAAATCCGCTATGGGATGAAGCGTTTTTATTGTAATTGTCCAAATGGAAAATTTATGTGGTTGCGCGATTAAAGCGGCTATATATAAGCTTCAATATATATTTGCAGCGACATAAGCCACAACACGAGCGAGGTGTTATTAGAGGTGTTCGATCGTGTCAACAAAAGTCAACGATTCTTGGGGCTAGGAATCGTAGGTGTCGAGGAACTCCTCGCAAATCCGAGCCAGCGGCAGATCATACCTCTTCAGGCACGACCATACGAGGAAGATGACATTACAGGCACTCTCACGGTGGAGGTAATCTCGTTCTTATTAATTTTTTATCTACTTGATATCTCAAACACGGTATTCCCGGAATAAAATATTTCTCTAATAAAATATTTTCAAGGAAAAAATTGAGATATTTTTCAATAAATGTGAAAACTGAAAAGATCATTTTTCTTCTGTTAAATGTTTAATACATCTATCAAATTTTCACGAATTACTTCAGATATTCGAAATGTCTTAACAAATAAATTATACTTTTAATATATAATAGTTTATTGACTAGTACGTGTTGATTTGTTAGTTTCGTGCTGTTAAGTCGTTTATATGTTTCAGTTTCTGTTCATCGAGGGTGCGGAAGTGCCACAAATTGGGACCAAGCCTTATAAAGTCAAGGAGACGATAAAGCCAGTCTCGCCGACCCGTTCCTACAGCCAAACAAATGTCATCAGCAGCAATAGTCTGAACTACAACAACGGTAACAGTACACTTATCTTGTACGACTCTGCCGCACAGTCGGAAGGGGGTAATTACCGATTACTTATCAGGCGTTGAAGTGTGTCTACATCCGATTGACTTTTTCTTTCATTAGTATATTAGTGACTTCTTGACCTGTCCTTGTATAAAGGCAACCCTCTGTTTCTCATCACTAGAACCGGTTTGAACCCCTTAGTATGTAACGTATTTGTTTAAATTATGCATCGTTCATCGCACGTCGAAACCGTTTCTCCGATTCGCTCCGGATATAGTTGGCATGAGAACAATTAAATTCTCATTTCTCATTCACAGTATCGTGGATAAAGCCCTCAAGCGTCACCCGAATGCAACCAAAAATTATTTATTTAAGCAAGAATTAATTAAATATACAGATTAAATATACAGAGTGTCCAAAGTTTCATATACATACTATACATGTTTTAATCTGCCTCCATTATTTTCTAAGCTTTAAGTCGTTTATATTTCCACGACTAATGATATGTCATTTTTATTGAGAAAAGTTAATAAAAATTCAAAAATTCCCTCAAATTTCTCCAGATAGGAATCTGGAATATGTAACATTCTGTATAAGTTAGATAAATAGATAATAATGTTTTGGCATTTAAAATGATCAACGCTTTTATAGAGATAGAGAGAGAGAGAGAGAGAGAGAGAGAGAGGGAGTCGTAAATTTTATCAAATAAATTACGTTTTTCACGAAATTTGATTAAAAAAATATTTTTGCAGACTACTTAACGAATGGCAACGTTGTGGATTCACCATATAAAAGCGGGCAAACAAATGGTAACAAGGGGACGTTGATCGTACACAGTCACCAAAGGGTAAGCTTGTGAAACAATTAAAAGTACTTTTTATTGCACGAATATTAATGTAACACTTGTGTGAAATGAAGTTACGAATAACTAAAAAAGTTATAGGTGAATTTGTATGAAAACGAGTAGAAGTTTAAAGTTTCTGAATGAGATTCCGCAGAATAATTTGCATATATACATATATATGTACATAAAATAAAAAATTTTTCAATTTTTCAAAAATTATTTGTTTAATAAAATTACTGTTCATCTCTGACAAATATAATCTTTACGATTATTGTGATTTATACTAAAGCATGATTTTTATTTGATTTTTCTTGCAGCAACCGGAGCGACAGATTGTAAAGGTAAGAAACACATGTTGATTGTTTGCATTTTGTGTGATCGGAATAATCGTTTTTCGCTCATAATACAAAAAAATAAATAAACCTCAGGGATAGTTCTTTCAACGTGATGCAACTTAAGACAGACATCTGATACGCTGAAGCAAAGATTGAGGAGCAAATTTGAAGCGTTTGTCATTCGTTCAAAGTGTTGTTATTCAGAATTGCATTTCAATTTATTTTAACATCAAGTATCTTTTTTCTGTTTCATGAAAGTATTAACGTGGTTGAGTGCTGTGTATTTACTAATGTGTAACAGGTCACTCTGATGGAGAATGGAAACTGGCAAGAGATATTCCCGGAGGCAAGTGAATTTGTAATACCGTTCTCGTCTTGATAAACAAAATTTCATGATGGGGGGTTGGCGGGGAAGGGGGGGAGGACACAACAAAAAATCAATCTTGCACCTTGTATAATTTTTTAATACGATCTCTTTGCAGCACGGAGCAAAAGATGTCAATGCTATTTCGGGACCAGAAACCACGCCTAATTCCTCCAATTCAGAAGGTAAGACTGTTGTAGCGTTGAAATCCCAACCCAGAAAAATTAAACTAAAATTATAAATTATAATTTTAAAATTAGACAATTTCATCTCCGCTTATAATATTGTATCCATATCACGTATTCATCATTTATTCTTGCCATAATTTATGAAATATAATAAACAACATTTATTTTACACAGAGAGAGGAAGAACACGAAGAAAACGACGCGATTTCTTTGGTACCATAAAGAAGCGACTGAGTCGATCCAAGACGAGAAGTAGATCAGTGGGTCCTGAAGGAGAGATCAATCATGAAGATGCTCATTCGAGATCCATATCCGCCGACAGAGCTCGCGATCCTGGCTCTGGTAAGGTTTTAGTACCGTTTCAGTACTCTTCAGTGTACTGTTTTTTGTAAATTAAATTAATTGTGTCACGTCTGTAGCGACATATAGTTTTTAATGATCGCGTGTTTCATATCTATAATTACATGTGTACTTAAGAAATGCAATTTGCTTGATTGCAATTGACATAAATCCGTATATACAAGAGATCTATTGATCAGATTACTATCACATTAACTTTAAGATTTTAGTCATTTCTCGATTGTATCGAATTGTATTGGATTGTATTGTATGTATACTCATTTATATGCACACTCTCTGTCTTGCTCACATGTGTGTAACTCTCACGGTACTCGACTTTGGTAAGTATCTTATTGTTAGCAAGAAAGAACGTAGTGCGGAAATTTTGTTTTTAAATAGGCAAAGTCGATAATATAAACGATGAGCGTTAATAAATTTGAAAGAAAATTGCGTTATTTCTAGATCTCAATTTATGGATTCAGTAAAATTAATTATAATAATTTAAACTCGAAAAAATCCGATTATTTATCTTCTCAACAATTGATCGTTACAATTCGTCACAATTCGTTACAGACGTCTTGTACTTAACTACGATAAAATGTATGTATATATACTTATACGATACGGTGTAATATAGGTTTTTTTTTTGTATCAGTTGTGCTTAACTTATTAGTATATAATGTATTCGTTCTTGCGCTTCAAGTTACTTTTTCGTTCTTTTATCTGCATTAGAAAACGTTAGCGTATATTTAATACGAATTGTTTCTCTTTTTAGCTCATTTATCGGTACCAGAACAATCGAGACGATCGAGTTTGAGCGAAGCCTCGGGTATAAGCGGAACATCCACGAGAACGTACGTCAACGAAGCTTCCACGCTCGTTCTTGAGACTCTGGAGAACGGTATTAAGAAGTAAGTCACTCCCTCTTCTCTCTCTTTTTGTATTTTTAGAAGGAGACGTGATATTGTGTCGTTCCTCTTGCTATAATTTTAGACACTACCTCGTACCACTTTCCCTCGCGCAGAAAAGTAAATGGAGGAAAAAGGGGACAAAGTTGCACATATTTAACGATCATACGTTTATCGCCAAACACATGGCGGGGTGAGTTTTATATGTATATACATTATTATCGTGCCGATAAGACAATATTATCAATATGACCATTGGCAATGTGGTTATCATTGATCAATAATAAACTTTACAATAGTGCGTTTAAATATTTTCCAACAGAGTAATAATATCGATAACGATCGATATACGAAATACACGTGCCCGATTTACTTTGCTTTTAGAGGAACAGTTTGCGAGGTGTGTAAAAGAACCCTCGCACGAAGGCTCGGTAAGCAAGGCTACGAATGCAGAGACTGTCAGATGAAGTGTCACAAACATTGTCATGTGAAAGTCGACACGACGTGTCCCACATCCACTATCCAAAGCATCGAGTTGTGAGTATCCTAAACAATACCTTAACAATATCGTTTTAAAATTAAGCTAAATATTCCCAAGTTCTAATGAAAACTGTAGTCTCATTACATTTGCAATTAAAATCTCAAAAGATTTTCAAGCTCGTTATTACGAATATGGTCATATTTATTGTTTAATCTTACGAACCATGCCCTAATACAACTTTTCTCGCGTAAGGTCCTTACTGCCAGTACTGAGCGAATAGGATAGGTAAGACTCTCGGAGTTTAGAAATGAGTGCATTTTTGCTAATAGTATCGCGCATGAAAAAGTGCCTGTCCCCAATAGATTGACCGATACACCTCACGTGTTCAATAATCTGCTTGTGAAAATGCATAATTCTCTGCTTGTTCCTATTCTTTCGGGTTTTTCGATTTGCATATTCTAGTCGCATATTACCGAGATTAATTGAAAAGTACCTTTTTAAAGACGTTATTGTCGATGAAGCACGATGAATGCATTGTATATATGTAGATTACGTATATATTAGTATAATAATTTTATATATATATATATATATATATATATATATATATATTTGTGTGTCTACTTTTCTTATCTGATTCAGAATTCGAAGGGCAATCTTACCAATTAATATTTATGATTTTTAGGATGTGCGTCAAGATTCCGCCACTCGAACGAAAGCCTTCTATGCTTCTGTGTTCGCGATAACTGTGTTCGCGGACACGCGTGTTACACGCGCGATTACATTTTGGACATGCGACTTATTTTTTAAAATAGACAAAATAAGACAACGATGATTGTAATCCATTTCTAAAAGTTTCATGCCTTTCACATTTTAGTTCTTCCATTTCCGAGACGAGGAGATAATTTAAGCTACGATATATTCTGCAACGTCATTATTCTGCAAATACATCAGTTGTTTTACACAAAAAGATGGAACGTTTACATTCACACGAACGGAATTAGATCTTAATGCAAAAAAAGTTTGAATTGAACTTAATTTAATTAGGACATGTCCTACAATTTATTATCTTGTAAAATTATTATTTTGTAAAAAGTAAGTAAATTACAAACGTGTTAAGAAAAGATAAGTATTTATTCTGCAAAATTAAAATTCTCTTATATCTTTAGAGTACAAGAGTCAAATTTTGCAGAATTAATTACCATTTCTACTGTGCTTTAATTCAGTGATCTTTTGCATTGATCGTCACGTCTTCTATACGTAATAGTAATGAAGCCGATCTCGAAATCAGATTTTGAAAAACACGCCATCGTATCTAATACGCATAAAACTTACGAAACACTTTCGTCATCTCTTTCTCTCTCTCTCTCTCTCTCTCTCTCTCTCTCTCTCTCTCTCTCTCTCTCTCTCTCTCTCTCGATCATCATATATAAAAGCGTATTCTGCAAACAATGGATGAATTGAAACTCTTGTTTGCAGGATGCGCGTCATGCGGCGGTATGTGGCGTGTAAAATTTACCAATGACTGCGTAAATTAATTAATAAAATAACGATATTAATGATAAACAGTAAAAATATAATCACGATAACAATCCTTCTGATAGTAATAACTATGAGAATAACATTAGTCGTAATAACAGTAGCGGAAACGGTATAGCGAAAAATGGCAAAAATGCATCAGGTTATTACAGTCAACTCTTCTACATTTGTTTAACTTTCACTTACATTTAGCACAAACATTTTTTATCCGTATCTGTATAATTTTGCCTTCATGCAAAAACGCGTGTTTACGCGATTTACGCATTATCAGAAAACGACGAGGCTGTATTATTTTGGATTATCGCGTTCACGCGACGATGAAAGTCAAGTCATCTTAATAAAAATTCTATCGAATGTACGTAGATAAATGCGAATATACATTGCAGATCCAAGTACATATTTGAATACATAAGTAAGAGTCTATGGTGTAATTTAACGAGTGGTGTTAGAAATTTTTCTTTCCAAGAAATATATCCAATACCAGCTTACGGTATAACAACGATATATATTTTTTACACATTTATTCATATAAGAAAAGGTAAAGCTAGCCAACTCTTTTAAAATATTTTATGAATATATCAAGATTTACTCGATTATTAATAACACATTATTTGCAATCTATTGTAAATAATATTCAAATTCTTTCCATTTTAATGCATTTTTAAAAATTATTAATATAATTGCAAGATGTGAGGAAACCTGGGTAATTGGACGTGAAAAATATATATGGTAAATCCATATGTATAAACAATACATATGTATATAAATCTTTAGAGTCTCAACAATTTTCTATTACTTATATACAAATTAAGAGAAAAAAATAACGTAAGACGCACCAGAAAAACATTAAATTACTATGATGAGTTATATGCTTAGATTTATATATCTCTCTATAACGAACATCGTCGGAGTACAAAATGCAATCAAAATGCAAACAGAATTAAATCAACGTGAAGCTTAAGCACTTTAACGATATATCGATATACATATATTATATAGCGATGTATTTACACATAGAAATGTGATCTTATTGTTAGAAACTAATTTTTGGCAAAAAGTTTAACGAGATGAAAGCAAACATGAATTATTTCCTTTATTGTGTATTTTTGTATTTAACATTCTAAACAATGTACACGCAGCGTCGCAATTTCACTGACAATGTTCTGTGTAATCACAACTAATTGCTAGCAAACCCCACTGACGAGTTTCGTAGTCAGGGAACGAATGGTGCTAAATAGAAAGCGGCAATTATATACAAATGCGATCATATCGCGTCGATCGTTAATTTGTTAATCTCCAATACGCATATACGCATACGCATACAATATAGGTACATACATCGAAAAATACGCATAAAATAATCATATTATATAAATCGAATCGAATTCGAATTCAATTTTTCCTGTATATACTGTAAACAGATTTATGATGACGAGACACTCCGTTTCACGCGCGAGTTGTATCCACGGGCGAGTACAACTTTTTGAGTTTAGAATGGGAGAAGTACAGAGAGTTAAGTAACTCTATACACATCTACTGCATTTATTAAAAATTTTTATTCGGAGAATTAATATTGAAGATATATCTAATATAACATAATTATTTAACACATGACATTTTTATTTTATTAATGTAATATGTCACAATACGAGAGAAAAAGAGACAGAGATAAAATAATTGATATAAAGAACATGTATTTTTATATATAGGTACATAATATATATCTTCAATATTCGTCACCATAAATGAGAAAAATTTCAATTACTTTACTATTGTATATCAAGAACATAGTAAAATTAGAAAGAAATACGTATACGCACACACATATTTCAAGTGTAGTCTCCCTGTGGATTTGTCAACCATAGATTATACGATTAGAAATTTACAGTCACCACTCACCGGCTACAATCAACTGATACTTACTAGAGCGCTTAAACTTGATAAAATGACACCAATTGTCAATTTTTGCACGAATAATCGTATTGTTTAGAAGCATCGCGCAGTTGCGGGTGCGTAATTGAAAGTACAATGACATGACACATTGCAAAGCAATTAAATCGTTAAGATAATTATATATAACAATGGATAAACTTCTTCCTCGTTCGCGTTCGGCAATACGCACATCTCTTTTCCTATCCTTTTTCCTATCGTTTGTTTACCATCCAAAGATCATGAGTCGCGCGCGTTATCATAATTACTCAAATAACGAAATAATTATAAAGCGTTGACGCTGAAATATACATGTATCTATATATATATATAAGCTTCAACGATTGTGCCTATAATGATGTTGTTGTATTATAATAATAATAATAATAATAATGTTATACACTCTTTTCAGAAACACAATAGAAAATCTATTTATGGACGATATTTCCATTTGTTCCGCAAAAGCTTCTGATTCTCAATCCAACATCGATCGTATCTTTCTGTTCATGTGTATAAAGCTGGATTTAGAATTTTAGACGAAGCGAGGAAGCGAGAATGGACAAACACAAATGAGCGACTTTAATATGAGGTGAGCGAATGGTCAATATCGCTGCGCCGCGCTGTTCATCTCCGTCAAAGTATATGTTGCTCATTCACGTTTGTTCGTGCTCGTCCACTCGATCCGGATCCGGTTTAACATGATGTAGAGAAATTATGACGATGTTGATTATTATGCATTGCCGATTTATAATAATAATACAATTATAATTATATATAATATATATATAATGTTACTATTAATAAATTACAACGGATGACGATAAGACGATAATTGTATAATTTAATGTTACAGAAAGTAATATATTGTAATTCTATAACGTTACATCTCTATATTCAATCCTTTTCCATTTGTTTCACTCGACTCCTTTGAAACTCAGTTCAAGCAGAATTAAAATAACGGTAATTCTTCAGAATAGGGCCTTTTCCGAATTTTGATATTTTCTTGCGGTTTTCTTGGTATAAACCTTTGTTGTGACTCCGACAGTGATAATCAATCGGGGGAGTCCGAAAAATATGCACCCTAC